AGGAGGACAGTGGGGGAGGGGTAAAGTCAGAGGGTGGGGTGGGAACAGGGTGGAAGGGAGCTATGGGGGGGAAAAGAGGAACTATAATAATCTGAACAATAAAGATTTAATTTAAAAAAATGAAGGGAATAAAAGACATTATTAAAAATTATTAAATAAAAATTTTTCCCAGACAATACTGAAACAAATATTAACCTCAATCTCTACTAATTTTCCATTTGACAACATCTTTCAAGAGAACAGAATTACCCCAACAAGTAAAACTAACAACTTTAGCAAGCTAATAATGCTAAATCATAGCATTATATAAATTGTATGTCCCACGTATGATTCAAATAGGGTACTTAAAAACCTCTAAGATATACATTTGGCTTCATCCAGGAAAGTACTCCAATCCACAGTCACCAATTGTGCCTCTAATTCTCATCACCCTCTTCACAATTTTGTATCACTCGTTACAAGGGACAATAGGTATGTGACTCAACATAGCTGTTCATCATTGCTGAAAATACAACTTAAATTCATTCAACAAGGATTTACTGAGTCCCTCTTATGTGCTATGTGCTATGACCTGTCTAGGATGTGAGAATAGAGTGCTGAACAAAGCCCTTGCCTTGACTGGGCTTACATTTCAATGCATGTTCATCAAAAATTCTCTAAACAGCCCATTTAATACACAGCGTTCATCACTAAAGCACAAAAGGTACCACAATTACTAGTCAAGAAACAGATCAGGTACACAAACTTTTTGCATTAAGAGCAGAAGACAGAATAAAATATCCAGGGCATGAAAACAGAAGAGCAATCAAGATTTAGAGCTCAGGGAAATCAGTGCTGTCCTCATAGGAAAAAAGGTGGTTAAGAGCAAATGCAGGGTAGGGCTAAAGTAGGTTTACAGTTGTGAGTACATGAAACACAGAGCTTATTCTTATATTCTTATTTATTAATTACTAGAGGCCTGGTGCAGAATATTCATGCACTCAGGGGGGCGGGTACCTCAGCCTGGCCTGTGTCCTCTCACAATCTGGGAGCCCTTGGGGGATGTCCGACTGCCAACTTAGGTAGGGAGCGGGCCTAGGCCAGCAGTCGGACATCCTTAGCACTGCCACAGAGACGGGAGAGGCTCCCACCACTGCCGCTGTGCTCACCAGCCATGAGCCTGGCTTCTGGCTAAGTGGCGATACTCCTGTGGGAGCACACTGACCACCAGGGGGCAGCTCCTGCATTGAGCGTCCACCATCTGACAGTCAGTTCGTGTCATAGCAACCAGTCAATCCACCGTCGGGATGAAACCGGCTCTCCGATATCCCCTGAGGAGTCCCAGATTGTGAGAGGGCGCAGGCCAGGCCACGAGACCCCACCAGTGCACAATTGGGGCCATGGAGGGATGCAAGAGGTTGGCCAGCTGGGGAGGGATCGCCAGAGGGCTCCAGGGCATGTCCGGCCTATCTCACTCAGTCCCGATTGGCCAGACCCTAGCATCAGGCTAACCTACCAGTCAGAGCATCTGCCCCCTGGTGGTCAGTGCACGTCATATCGAGCGGTTGAGGGGTCGACTGTCTGC